TCTCCAGATCTGCACCCAGCGTTGCGAAATCTTCGCCCGGACGCTGTCTTCGATTGGTAAATTGGAGATAATAGTTTTGTGTATGTATGTATGTATGCCGTTTATTGCATTTCCCCGTAGGGTTTACAAGGCGTTTTTATGAGGAACGTACCCAAACCTCGTACATTCTCTTTCCCCTGTGCCTGGCCATTTGCGACCTTACAAAGATATTTACCCCCCCTCCCCTCCCCTCTTCATCCCTCTTCTTCTTCCTCCGCTTCCGCCGTCCATTCTTCCTTCCTTCCTTCCTTCTCCATCCTTCCTGTCGACTCCTCCCTATTTGGTCTGCTGCCTCTCTCGTCCCTCCTCCTTCTCCTTCTCTGGACTCAAGAGAAGCTTCTCCTCCATCCTTCTCGTTATTTCTTCCTCCGATGATCTCCCTGTGCACTTATGCACCTCCCTTCTCCCATCTTCTCTCTCTCTAACCCTCCTTTCCACCGACTTATCCTCATGTATCTTGACTCCTATGGAGTTCCCTGCCCTTCTCCTCGCCTCCAAAACTCGCCTCTTCTCCTCCTCGTCTCCTAGCTTTACCAGTATCGTCAACCAAATCCCTCTCTGCCCCACCACTATCACCTCTCTTACCTTCACCTTCACCTTCAGCCCTTCTTCGAAAAGCTCCTTCACTTTCTCCCAGTTGGTCTCCTTTCCTTCCCATTTCTCTTTCTCCACTCTTATAATTATATTCCTCTTTCTGAAATCGTCCTCGTTTCTTTCACCCTCACCTGCCCACCATTTCTTCTTTCCCGCCCTACTCTCCTCGCTATCCTCCCTCTTCCTTTTGCCTCCACTTTGCTCCACCCTTTCCATCTTTCTCTCCAGCCTCCTTACCTTCTCCTCCAGCTCCTCCATCCTCTCGTCCTTTTTTCTGTCTTCCTCCTTCTTTTCCCTCAGTATCTTCCTTAACTTCTCCTCTACAATCCCTTCCACTGCCTCCACTATCATTCTCCCTTCACGCTCCATCCTGGCTACCTTATAACAGAACAATTACTCACTTCTCCTTTTCTCTACTCTCCTCTTCCCCTCCTCCCACTTATCCTCCTCCCCCCTTTCCCCTTCCGTCTTCCCCACTACCCTCCTTTAACTCTTCTAAATCTCCCTTTCCACTCCTTCTCTCCCCTTCTAATTCTAGCATCCATTCCTCTCCTCTTCCTTCCTCGTCCAAGACCCATCCTACCGCCTCCTGCCAGCTTCCCTTTCCTGAATTCCATCTTCTACATTCTTCCCATACATGCTCCCACGTTTCCTCTTTGTTCTCACACAATCTACACTTCTTTTTCTCCTCCGCTTCCCAGTATCTGCTCTCTCCTATCTCGTTCCCTAGTCTGAATCTCGCCACCCTTCCCCATCTACTTTCTCCCCAACCCTTCTTCAAATATCCCGGGATACCCTCTCCCTTTATCCACTTATACCATTTATTATATTCCGATTTCTCGATCCTCTCCCATCTCTCTCTCCTCTGCGTCTCCCTATCCCCTTCAAACAATTTAAGAAACCATTCGTCTCCATCTCCTCTCATCTTTTCCACCTCTTTTAACCCCACACCTCTGTCTTCGAAGAACTTTCCTCTCTCTCTTTCCCAATCTGAGCCAGCTTTCCCTTCCCTCTCTCTTTCTTTCAACTCTTCCCAGGCAGCCCTCGCCAATTCACTTCCTCCACCTTCCTCTAACTTTTTCTCAAATCTCCATGCCCTCATTCCTGCTCTCCCTCTTAATTTCTCCCTTTGTAACTCCTCCCTCACTAAATACCACGGTGTTCTCACATCCGCTCCCAATACCCATCTAATGTACCTTTCTTCCATTCTTTCTATTCCTTCCCTTTCTCTCCATCCCCATATTTCCGCTCCATAACTCAACACCGTCCACACCAGTCTATCGAACAGCCACAGTCTTTTTCCCCAGTCTTTCCCGAATCTTCTCTTCCCTATCCCCCATACTTTTCCCATCACTGCGGCCGCCTTTTTGATCCTTTCCCTTATTTGGGCTTCCTGCCCTCCATTTCTTTGAAACACGTATCCTAAATACCGAAATTCCCTCACCTCTTCTAACTCTTTTCCTTCCCATCTCCACTTCCTCTTACTGTCCCTCCCTCCTCCTTTCCTAAACCTCATTATTTTTGTTTTCCCCACGTTCAATTCCCATCTCTTCCTGCCCAGGTACCCCTCTAGTCTTTCTATCAGACTCCTCATTTGATCCTCGTCCTCTGCGATTAGCACTATATCATCCGCATAGGCCAGAGTATACACCCTCTTGCCTCCTAGCCTTATCCCTCCCCATTTAACTCTACCCATTTCCTCTTCCAGGTCTGCTAGCAACACATTGAACAGAATCGGGCTCAAAGGGCATCCCTGCCTTACTCCCCTCCCCGTCCAGAATACTTCTCCCAATTCGTTTCCTCCTCTTACCCTACTCTTCGTCTCTCTTAACATCTCTTCCGTCCTTCTCACCAGTCCTTCCCTTATTCCCCTTTCTCTCATAGCTTTTATTAATATTCCTCTATCCACCGAATCGAACGCCGCCTTAAGGTCCACAAAGCATGCTATTAGTTTTCCCCCTTTCTTCTCTAACCTTCTGTTCACCATGTAGTTCAACACGTAAATGTTGTCTATCGTTCCCATTCCCCTTCTAAAACCTGTCTGGTTGTGCGGTACCATTCTCTTTCCCTCTATCTCCTCCCTTATCCTCTCCGCCAGAATAGCCGTGTACACCTTATACAAAGAAGGCATTATTGTCACCCCTCTATATTCCTCTGCCCTCTTTCCTTCCCCTTTCTTTACGATTGGCGCAATTATACCTTCCTTCCAAATTTCCGGCCATCCTCCCCCCTTCCATATCTTATTGATAAATTTCCATGCCCAAACCTCCAACCCCTTCCCTCCTCGCTTCCAGGCCTCTCCTGGGATCTCATCCTTTCCCATTGCCTTTCCGTCCTTTAGCTTCTTTATAACTCTCCTCATTTCCTCTAGGCTTATCTCCTCTTCCTCCTCTCCTTCCTTTTCTTCCCTCTCTCCTTCCCTCCCCATCCTCACCCTCCCCTCTACTCCTCCTAATAACTTCATAAAGTGCTCTTTCCATTCCTCCTCTTCTATTCCTTCCTCTATTCCCCTCCTTTGTCTTCTCTCCCTATTCACTATCTCCCATACCTCCGCCTCCCTCCTTGCTTCCTCCACTTTTCTCTCCCATCTCTGGTTCTCCTCTTCCTTCTTTCTCTTACATATCTCCTTAAATTCTTTCCTCCTTTCCTTGTACGCACTGGCCTCTCCTCTTTTCTTCCTCCAATCCCTTAATTTTCTCCTTGTCTCTTTCTTCGCTTCTCGACATTCCTCATCCCACCATCCCACCTTCCCTTTCTTATTTCCCAGCTCCTCCTCTACTTCTTTTATTGCCTCTGTTATTCTTGTTTCCATTTCTTCCCATTCCTTATTCAACTCTTCTTCTTTTTCTTCCACCTCTCCTATTTTTTCTCTAAACCTCTTTGTTCCTTCCTCGTTCCACACCCCCCTTCTTCTTTTCTTCCACCCTCCTCTCCTGCCTTCCTCCTCTTCCCCTCTTCTTACTTCTATTTCCAATGGGTGATGGTCCGAGTCTACTCTCTCCCCCACTACCATGCTCACTATCTTCTCTCTTACTTCTCCTTCCCCTATTATGTAATCAATCACTGTACCTCCTCTTCCCCCCGTGAAAGTAAGCTCCCCCTCCTCGTCCCCTCTCACATTTCCATTAAATATCTCCTATCCTCTCTCCTCTAAGCTCTTTACCAACAGCCTCCCCTCTTTGTCCACCTTCTTGTCCTTCGACCTTCTTCCTTCTCCCAGTCCTCCTCCCTCCTCTTCCTCTATCCTCCCACCTTCTTGACCAGTCCTCGCATTAAAATCTCCCCCAATTATCGTATACCTTCCTTCTTCTTTCTTTTCCATTCTATCTCCTAACTCCTGTACGATCTCCTCCATCCCCTCTTTCTTTGCATACACCCCTATAATATTCCAGTTCTCGCCACCTGTTCTGACCTTTCCCGCAATCCAACCCTCCCTCTCTACTTCTATTGCCGTTCCCTTTTCTTTTAATCCTTTCCTTATTCCCATTATCATCCTTCCTATTGCTCTTCCTTTTTTGTTCTTTTTCTTCGCCATTTGCACCCCCCACTCGTACCCTTTTGGAAGTCTCCCCCTTATTCTTTCCCAACCCTTTTCTCCTATCCAGGTCTCTAACATGACTAACACATCTTCTTTCTTCAGCCCTTCCCAAAAATCCTTATCTTTATTTTCCAACCCAGTTACGTTCCAGAATACTATCCTCCAAACTGACTTACTTTCCCCCTCTTCTTCCCTTCTAACTTTCGCATTGTCCTTCTCTATCTCCCCCCCTCTATCCTCTTCTCCTCTCATTCCCCCGTCTCCATTCCTACCTCTCCCTCTCCTCCTTTACCTTCTTTCCCTTCCTTCCCTCCTCTGCTCTCCTTTCTTCTCCTTCCCCTTTCGTCCTTTAACACCTCCTCTTCTATATCCCATCTCCACCAAGTATTTTCCAACCTTATTCTGCCTGCCTTAATCCATGCCCTCCTACCCTCTCTTTCCTCCCCTCTCGCTATCTCTCTCAACCGCCAATTCGTTCTTCTTTCCTCCCACGATAGGTCCTCCGTAATTCTTTCCTTTCTCCCCACTAGGCTCCTCTTTTTTTCCATAACCTCCCATTTCTGTTCTTCGTTCTCCAATTTTAACAGCACCATTTCCCTTCCTTCTTCTGCATCACCTCCTATTCTCTTCACCTCTGTAACCTTTACTTTCGCTCCTATTCCTTCAAGCAACTTTTCTGCATTTTCTCTCCTCCCTCCTTCTTTTACTTCCAGCCCTCTTATTACAATGTTTCTTCTTCTCTCCTCCTTTTCTTTCCTTTCCAGCCTTCTCTCCAGCTCTCTCATTTTCTCCCCCACCTCCCCTCTACCGTTTCTTTCCTCCTCCTTCTTCTCCTCCTTCCTCTCTTCCATTTTTTCCTCCAATCTCCTTATTCTTTCTTCCATTTTCTCCTTCTGCTTATTTGTCTCTTCCCTCTCCTCTTTCCATCTCTTCTCACGCTCCCTAAACTCCCTTCTCAGGTCCTCTATCTCTTCTCTCATCTTCCTACCCTGCTCCTTGAAACCCTCCCTTAGCTCTTCTCTCACTGCCCTAAATTCCTCCATCATTTCTCCCATTCTTTCTCCCAACTCCTTCACACTTATCTCCGAGTCTTTTTTAGGAGATCTTGCCGTCATATTACTTCTCTTAAAGATCTCCTCCTTTTCCTCCCCCCCGCTCTTCTCCATTTCCTCCCTCTTCCTCTTCCATAACTCTTCTATATTTCCCGTGCTCCCCCTTCTAACTTTCTCCTTTTCCTTAACCTTACCTATTGCACCCTTTCCCTCCTTCCCGTTTTCTTTCCCTTCACTCATTTCCTCCTATCTCAGCTCAGTTCCCCCTCTAGCTCCACGACCTACTCTATGCCCTGCCTCGTGTTGTTGTCCGCGTCCCGGATTCTGCGTCGAGTCGCCCCTCTCTCTTCGCTATCGTTCGCGCCCCACCTCGTGCTGCCGCTCTCGGCTCGGTTCACCTGCCGTGCGCCCCTCTAGCTCAGCTATCGTTCGTGCTTCCACCTTCTCAGTGCCTAGCCACTTTACCTCCCCTTATCTCCTCTTCCCCGCCCCTCCTCTATTCCCCTTCTTACCTCCTCACTCTCTCACCTCCACACCTCCTTGCTCAGTCACCCTCTCCTTCCTCAGCTTCCCTCGTCACTCTCTACTAAACCCTTTTGCTCTCGCTCACTTTCACACCTGTCACTCTCGTTCTCTCCGGAACCGGAAGATAATAGTTTTGTGTAAGTTCGCTTTCCCCGAAACGCAGCTCCAATTTCGCCTTTAACTCCGCGTAAGAGAGGGATTCAATCCCGTCGACAAAAGAATCAAGCAATGAACGCGCTTTCCCACGTAAACACGATGCCAATACGATGGCCTTTTCCGTCTCATTCCACTTATTCGCGACGGCGATGAGCGAGAATTGCGAAAGAAACTCGCGTAACGGCGCGGTCCCGTCGTAAGTATCGGGCTTCAATTTAATGCCGCGAAAGATTTGGTCCCCGGACGCGTCTATACTCGCGCCCGTCACTCGCGTCGCGCTACTCGCGTTTTCGCCCGAAGCAAAATTATTGGAGGGACTTAACTGTGAGATCCTCTCCTGGATTCGGCGTAGCTCGTCGTCACGCTGCTGCACCATCGCCGCGAATTCGGCTTCTCTCTGCGTGCGCTCCGCGCGCATCTCGCGGATCTCCTGCATCACCGCCTGAAGCGTGATCATCTCCGCCGTCATCTCTGGGGTCAGTGGAGGAGTCGCTGCCCGGAGTCGTTTCCTTGTGGGAGCGGTCGAGGTCATATTCCGTTTAGCGCGGCTCGTCTTTCCTCAATCCCGGACGAGCCCCCAAAATGTTGCGCTCGCCGGGTCTCTCACTTTCTCACAAGCACTCGCGGC